ATATTGGTACGTAGGTAAAAAAATTCACTGAAATTAAATGGTATGAATGGTAATTTTTAGGACTTAGAGCAAAAATGATGGAAACCTGCATTTTGGAGTTAAAATAAAGATTTTGAAAAATTGTTCAGCTCAGATGGCGCCAGACTGCATGCTGACGGCGTCGTTTGACAGAGAACACATATTTAATTAGATGACCATTGGCATCGACGACGTCATAATGGGCGCCTATGGCGTCATAAAGGGCATCGACGACGCCAAGGGTGCAGACCCTGTTTCTAGAAGATTCGACGAATTTGGATGCTTTTTGAAGAGTTTTTGGATGCACCTATTGGGGAATAGACCCTAGACTCTATTTAGAGCCGAAATTGATCTTAAAAGACACCCCCCTTCGCATCTCTCCGACTCCTCCTTGCCACTTTACATCATTCCACGTTATTCCACACCATTAGTCATTTATTTTCATTGTAGTTTTGAGTTTTTGTGGTGAGTTTAAGTGTGAATTACTCTCTAAGTAGTGTTGGAGAGGGAGAGAAGTGAGAGATTTCTTCTTCCTACATTTCTTAAGAGAGACTACAAAGGATTTGCTTTGAGAAAGAGTTTCAGAGATAAGTGTTGTTTGTTTATTGTTTGTTATTGTATGAAATTTTTTTTATATATGAAATTTGTGTTTTGTCGTATCTTTCTCATCAAGTATGAGTAGTCTTTCTCCCTGCTCTGAGATATGGTGAAATGAAGAGATAATTTTGATGTGTCAATGTTAAAATATAAAATAAATTGTGATGGTTTTTCAACTCTGCTCTTAATTTACTTTTCGATTTGGCCAATTAAATTGTTAAAATATATTGTGAAACATATGATCCGGGAAATAGAGTCTGAGTTTTATAACAGAGTGAGAATCACATTTAAGTCCATGAAAGAGGACTTTGTTCATAGAATTAAGTGCAAATAAATAATAAAATATACATTGTTAGGTGTAGAATTGAAGATTTCTAGGGTGACAGACTACAATCCCCAATTCGATCTTAGTGTTTAAAGACTAAAGCGAGAGTTAGCCTTTAGGTGAAGGGAAGTGGGAGCTATGGAGTGGGAACCAGTATCCTCCTATCCTAGCCACAGAACACACAGATTTAGGGACTAAACCTAAGATCAGTCAATGATTTTCCATAACACTGAATCAGGGTAGAGAATTAAAATTGCTCCTATTTGACACAATACAAATTTAGACCATTTATCTCATCTCATTTCATGAAAAACTTATTATAGTGGGAAATATGTTTTTTCATATTAGAAAACTTCATCACATAAACATAGTTTAGTAGTTACTATTTTAAATTTTGTATTTAAATTTTGCTAGTTGTTAATAATTTAGTTTTGATAATATTTATAACATTTAAAATTAGAGACAGTAATTTCATTTTATTTTTGTGAATTTTTTAGTTAATTTATCATCTTAAATTTAAACATTCATCGTGGGATCGATATTTGGGACTTAAATAGAAAGTCTTATATTAATTGATAATGATACTTATACTTGCGTAGAATCTCAACATTAAGTACTTAACGTTATTATTCATAAAATACATCAAATTTTTGGCACTGTTGTAAAGCGTAGCCAACTTTATAAATTTTACGCAACTATATATCACTGGGATCACAGTCCCTTGTCAAAATGATAAGAGAATCTAGGAACAAAATGCATACTTGAATACAACTATATGCCCTAATAAGATTTTTTTAGGGATATTTCATAGAGCCTTATGAGCATCAGAGGCCCAAGCCCAAAGATTAAGTTATTCTTGAGTTGAGCTCACCCGTCGAAGTGGACAAATTGAGCTCACCTACCTAAGCGGTCGAACTGAGCCTACTCATCGAAGCGGTCGAACTGAGCCCATCTGCCCAAGCAGTCGAGCTGAGCCCACCTGTTGATGCGGTCAAGTTGAGCCCACCTGTTGATGCGTTCAAGCTGAACCCACCCGTCGAAGTGATTGAATCAACCTGAATCACCAAGAAAGAATATCATTACAGATAAGGACAAATGACAATCCTCTTATGACGCCGTATGACATCCATATTTTAATTTTTTCACCAAGACAATATAAATAGGTGCTATACCATACGAAATCTAATTATATATTTGTTTTCTCTCATATTTAAAAGGAGGTTAGAGGGGCTCTTAAGAGACTATTTTTATGGGAGATGACCTCCAAAAGGATTTTACTCTCCCTCTCTCTTTATCTCTATCTCTCGCTATGAGAAAAGCAAAGGTCCTTTCATCACCTTCCTATACACATTTCTATTAAAAATTTGGTCTTTTTTGGGTTGTATGAACTCACAAGCAACCTACTCCTATATCTTAAAAATGATTTAACAATTGCATACAGATCACCATAAACATTGCTATTGACAAATTAAGCATATTCATTCATTCATTCATTTTTTAAATTTTCACTCAAATATCAAAATTTATGATAACATTTCAACCCACTTTTATTACATTCTCAGTGGTTTTAATGTGATACACATACATACATTAATTTGATTTTTCAAAATTACACGCGTGTGCTTATTTTGCAAAAAGCAATGTTTCAAATACTTTATATATAAATATCTACAAAAGCTTTGTAATGAAATTTTAGAAGATATGTTTTTTTAAAGAAAATTGGAAATCAAATGACCGAACCCCTTTATCAGTTTTCCGATGCACCCAAGAAATTTTTTTATACGAAGTACGTGCAGACTTAACGTGCAGACTTCAGTGATATGACGAACAACATTGATTATTGGAGTGGAACCGCATAAGTCATTTGAGAGGGTTATTGAGACATTATTGAGGAGTTATTGTGACATTAACTCTAATAAAAAACACAATAAGGGCTAAAAAATCTCTTTCCCCTCCTACAATCCCCAACAACTTTCAATTCAATTTCAATAACCCCTTAAATTAACCTCGGTGGACTCCTTATGGAAAACCGGCGCACCCGGCGCACCCGGCGTTCGTCTAAAGCGAAATAACAACCGACGAGAAAAAACGCTTGACCTCATCAGTGAGCCTTCATCTTACTCATTTCCCAAAACTTGAACATTTTTCTTCTTAGACCGTCGAGAAACTGGAATAATAAGCAGCACAAAAAACACTCGAGTGCCTTCATGGCCGTCTTGACTATCTTCTCTTTCCCCATTACCAGCCCAACACCAAGTGTCAAGAGGTCTATTTTTCACCCTCCGCTCTACCCTCCTCTTCTTCACCTATACCATATCCCTTTGTTTCATTACCTCTCTTGCAGGTTTCATCTCTCGCCGCCGGCGAGGCTCTCCTCATCGAATCAGTTCTCACATCGGCGAATCGTTCGTCGGTTACAGAACCGCCGCCGGAGTTTCGTCTGGTAATGGGTTTTACATGTCTTCATTCACGTTACTAGGGTTCTTATATTCCCTTTCAGTTAAATTTGGAGCATTCCAACGCATCATTGTGTCATTTCTGTTGAGAAATTTAGCCGATGGCATCAGGTCGATGTTCACCGACGAGGAACAGGGGACGGTGGTTCCGGCGTCGGTGCCGGTTCGTGTAGCCTATGAGCTCCTGCAGGCGGGACATCGTTATCTGGATGTCAGGTATTTCAGACCAAATTTGTTGTCTTATTCTTTTTTCTATTTATTTATTCTTATCCTTATCCTTATTATTAAAAATGGAGTTTGTGAAACTTTCACCTTATCCAGAACGGTTGATGAATTCAAAGCGGGTCATGTGGTGGGGGCAACGAACATTCCTTTTATGTTAACAGTTGGATCAGGTATTTTTGTTTACTTATGCATGCTGGTTACCTTGTTCGTTCAAATAAAATCAGCCTTTTTTATGTTTGAACTCAAAGAGCAACATGCACGATTCAAACTCATAAACTCGAAGCGAGAAACTAAAATCTTTATCACTATATCACAGATAAGTGTGCATTAATAATATCATACAATTCTTTTGTATTTACATACCTAACACTAAAAATTTAATATTTACATTTAGAGCATTTTATGTTATAAACTTATACATGAAAATGTGTATTTCACTTCTAAAAAGTTAATTGTACACCAAAAATGTGTCAATACGAATTTCGAAAGAATCAAACGGTCCATATCAAAATATACTTGATGTAGACCCCCTTTGACAAAAAAAGCTACAAGGTCTCATGAATTCGACTAATCGAAGGCCACCCAGGTGACTGATACCAAGTCTAGGAAACTAATAGCCAACACAAGGGGGGTGGAGTTTGACCTCAAAGAGCAATATGCACCATTCGAACTCACGACATCAAAACAAAAACTAAAACCTTAATCATCATATCACAGATAAGCTTGCATTAATAAAATTTTTAGGAAAAACAAAAAAAAATATCAATTATTTTGAGGGATTTATACATAATATAATAAAATTCTTTTGTTTTTACATACCTAACACCTAAAATTTAATGTTTACATTTAGAGCATTTTATGTTATAAATTTATACATGAAAATGTGTATTTCACTTCTAAAAAGTTAATTGTATAAAAAAAATGTGTCAATACGAATCTCAAAACATTCAAACAGTTCATATTAAAATATAGTTGATGTGGATCCCCTTTGACAAAAAATTACAAGGTCTCACGAATCCGACCAACCGAAGGCCTCCCAGGCGACTGATACCAAGTCTAGGCAACTCATTGCCAATCCGACCAATTGATAGCCAACACAATAGACCGAAGGTCAGTTGGACGACTAAAGGGCCACCCAGGCCTATAAGGGGTAGACATCCACGCCAACAACCGAACAAGGGTCGAATATCTTCAACAATCTAACAAGTATCAATGCAAAACTCTCTTAACGGTCTCCCAAAAGTTCACCAAAGATTGCCAAACAACGATAATCAAGCAAGCTGACTGACTGCTCGAAAGTTGACTAGCCGCCCGAAAACCAATCGGTTATCCCACTCGAGAACCGACTGTCTTTCTAAAACGAAAGCCGAGCGGTGCCTTAACAAAAAACCAACCTAAACCAGCTCAGTCGGTCGACTCAAGGGCTTGTAGATCCAAAGGTCCAGACATGCAAAAAAGACCATAAAATCCTGTACAACCCTTTGAAAGTAGGGGTAAAATATGTAATTTTACATTTTATTCCTCTATCTCCTATAAATAGTGGAATAATATCATGTATTAAGGGGCTTTTAGGCTCTTCTCTCTAGACCTCTTTTCTGTTGGGAGTCTCTCTCCTCTTTCTCTTGTAAGATCCACTTTCAATATATAAAATGGGTCATAGAGCCTAAGAATACTCTTGTTTGCCCGATGGGCTAATCAGTGTGCACTCTCTCCTACTCTCTCTCCGTATCTCTCCCTCACGGTTCCCACCACTCCATTCCTTGGGCATGCCTCATAGGAAAAAATTAGATTTAACATTCTAAAATGTACGGTGAATATGGAGCATTCTACTAACAAGAAGGAAAGTGACACCAATGAGGAGAAATACTTCACAAAGACACTCATAACAGAGAGATCGCTAATAAAATTTCGCAACAATTGATCCAGTAGCTGAAAAACTCGTTTCTACCACCTTTCGAGAGGCTTTGGCTAGAGGTGAGAGCCACAAAATGGACAGTCAGCTCCAAATGGTCTAAACATTCTTAGAGAGAGCCGACCGATAATACCTGCAGAATGCTCGGTCGACTCCGGGTGGTTGACACCTAGCTCGGCGAATGAAAGGTATATCATTTCAAAGTTTGTCTTTTGTGCCATGATACATGAATCTTGTTAATTGTTTATCTGGTCTGGTTTACATTCGGGGAACTCAAACCAAAGTAGCAACGCCATCGGTAACACCCAAGATGTTTGGTCGACAGAATATTCCACAATGCTTTTGCATTGTGAACCTTGATCTCCAAGCTTGGACTGGATAAAGCTCTGAATGTGGTTCCCTTCCCAGTAGCAACAAGCTCTGTGAAGGTTATGACTAAAATTATCCCAACAACGAATCTGGAGGGTTATCCCTACGAAGACAGCGACAAGATCCACCTAATACCCGACAAAAGGAGCGGCCCGATCGAGGCGACAATCCGATCAAGCAACCGAGACATGAAAAAGTGTAAGATGTGAGCCAAGTGCCAAGACTATAAAATACATCCGATCAATATCATAACACAAAATTTGTCCCTCAATGCTAAGCATTAAAAAACCCATGTCTCAAAGCTCAATGTGAATAAAACTTTGAAGGTGGTTCCCAGACTAATAGTGACAAGCTTCACGAAAGGTATGACGCAAATCACCTCAGCAATGAGTCTTACCTCGCGAAGGTAGTGACACAATCTGCCCAAGTCCTTGCGAAAGGTGTGGCAAGACTGAGGCAGGCAGTGTAAAACTCGTGTCGGCTTGTGACATAAAAAAAATGACTGATGATCTTTCCAAAGATCCGAGTGATCAACCGATATCAAAATTCATCAACAAGCAATTATCGCAAGAAAATAGTGCGATAAAGTAATAAACAAAAAAAAAACAAATGTAAACAAAAAACGATTGAAAACTTCATTCATTTTTAAATGTCAAAACGTACAAGCTTCTATATAGAAGATTTTACAAAAAATATATCTTTTCAAAGTTTTGCTAGAAAATTTTTTCTAAGTTTCAGGAGGCCGACTGGAGTTCAGAGTAGAAGATCTCCCATCACCTCCAACGTCTGAGTCAGATCTTGAAGATCACTTTGAACTCGTGTACAACGCATCAAATTCATCTAAGTCTATAAACTTATGATCAACAAGATCCAACCGAATGAACCAATTGATCGTTGTGACATTGTTGACTCGAAGCTACATGCTCAAAATCTTCTACTATCATATATGGGAGGGGAGCATCTCAAAAATCTCTTCTTCGGTCTTCATGGTCTCCAATTTGCCTTTAGCTCTTTATTTTCTTGTTGGGCTACTGACAAAAGTTCAGACAGAGTAGCAATCTCTTCCGCCACTTCCAGCTTCCATTCGACTATCACCACTCGCTTCTCCGATTTATTGACTAGCATAGCCGAGGTCTTAACTCTTTCTGAAGCGGCAACCCACTTCATATCTGCTTGGTCGAGCACCATCGACTGGAGGTGGGCAGTCTCCCATGCCTTGAGATGGTAGTGGTCTGGTTTCTTGTAGAGCTTGGGACATTCAAGCTCCCGGAGAGACTTAGCAAAGGCTTGGGACCATATAACTTCCACAAATGCAAATTGGTAGACTTCAGCCGACGGCGAACCATCATACCAATCCACCTCCCTGTCGATTACAGAGTACCGACTGTCAGAGCTGTTCCATTTTTGCGCCCCCTTGTTTTGAGAGGGAACTCTTCCTCTTCTTTCGATAGGAGGGAGGAGGTGGAGGAATCTACTTAGAAACAAGCTTCTTCGTTTACCAATGATGCACCTCCTACTCAGCCGCTGTCTTCTGATCAGTCTCTGACTTGATCCGAGTGGTAGAAGCAGACAAACTAGCCTCATTCCGAGTTGACAATCCAATCAATGTAGCATCATGGTGAGGGGAAACAGATCGTGTTATCGCCCTTTCAGAAGTTTCTTTCTCAAGTTTGCTCTCTTCTGAGTGACAAATGTCTCTCTAGAGTCTTGCCGACCCACACCCGAAGGAGCTGCACCCAATTGATGTGTTATGTAAATACCGAGGGTCTCCTTTCTATAATAGTTAGTTCACTAGTGGAGATTCTCTAGATCATCATCGTATTCACAGAGATTAAAAAAGAAATTTTGAACCTACAGTATCAACTCCATCGACGCGAGTTTCCACCTTTCTTCAGTCGCCACGCCACAACTTTCTGAGCAAGAATTATCTTTACTCGTACCTCAACTTTTGGTTTCATTCTGACAGTTCAAGCGACAATTGCCGCCTCCCGCTCAATTTCCTGTATCAGAGGAAACCCACAACTCCGCCATCATTTAGTCGAACAACCAAGAAATAAAACCCTGTTAACAGTCTTTGAATCTGTATACTAGGAAACTAACAGAAGCTATCCATCGATTTCAGCTCTCTCAATCTGGGAATAGTCTGTCTCATTCTTTCTCTTGGAGGTGTCCCTAATCCGAATTGTCCTGATACCCCAACTTGAAGAGGACGAAGCAACGAAGAACGTTTTTTATCAAGAAAAGACCTTCATTAAACAAAACAAAAGGTTACAAAACTATGTGGCTCTAATATAAGGCAGAGATAGATTACCCCCCTATAGTAAAAAGAAAAGTAACCACAAGGAACTCTATCTACCCAAATAGTACTAGATCTAGATCCAAGCTTTGCATGTCAGTCAACAGGTTTGTTCCCCTCCCTATAGATATGCAGCCATTTGATAGACTTCCCCTCAATAGTCTTGTTAGTAGAGTAGAAAGTATACCTGAGGAACAAAAGGAATATCAACACCCCTCTGGCATACTTCCAAAGCACAAGAGCCATTTCAAAAATTAGGTTATTCCAAACCAAGCAACCGGCAATTTTAACGGCCTCTAACAAAGCAAGGGCTTCAGCATGAACAACAAAATTGGCAAAAACAGGAGATGAGAAAAAGGCCAAACATTCCCCTTTATGGTTTATGAAAACACCTCCCAGCCCAACATTGTCTTCCCCAAAGCTCCCATCCATATTGACCTTAATCCACCCAACTTCTGGTTCCTCCCACTTGATCGGATGAGGATATACTTTAGGTAAGTGATCTACATTCAAGTTCAGTTCCTGGACCACCTTAGATAGGCCATCTAAACATCCTTATTCATGCTTTGATATTTTGAGGTTCATCCTTATTG